TCAGAATGGAAAAGGAAAAATCTCCAAAGAAAACTCAAATCCACCACAGAGAAAACCTACACAATGCTGGTTAGGAAGAGGATGTTTTAAATATGCGTGTCTAGAATGATGTCCAGAATAGACGGCTTGAGAGCTAGCTTTCATTTTAGAAAACAAATGCTCCTGAGAAGGGGGGGGAAGGGGGGGAGCAAGCCTGCTCCGCTCTCAGAAAATGGCCACTGGGTCAGGAGGCTGCACAGCCAGACCAGGGGCCTTGAAGCCTGCGGGACACACAGACATCCCCCTACTTTTCACACAGCAACTATCTGTAGACACACACAGAACCTTCTTTTTCCACCGGTACCGTAAATTGTGCCTGCAGAGTTATCTGTTCGTTGACTACAACAAGGATTAATCATTAGAAGTTTCATTATTCTCTCTGAGCGAGGAGGGAAAACTATGTCATTTTTAATGTAAGGTAGCTGCTGGTCGGAAAAAAGACTCTTATTTAAACTTCATAAAAGGAAGAAAGGAAGAAAGAAAGAAAGAAAGGCCTTGATAAGTGTTTCTTAAAATAGCAAGGAGACAAATCATCTTACCAGAAACTCATTATAAATAGAAAGCCTTAAAATAGATTATTCAAATGTGGCAAAAAGCTCTTAATTGGCCACCTGAAAATGTCCAAAACAAAAACAAATATGGAGAAATTAAATGTTTAAGACAGCAGGGTCAGAAGTTGACTTAGAAGTGCATTTCCCTTTAGGAAAACCTTGTTGTGCAGGTTTTATGACACAGACTTCCATGCAAAACCCCACCTTATAGGGTGGTGGCCAAAGACACCCCAGAACTGCAAGGAACAGAAACAGGGAAAGGTCAGGGTTTGCCCTGCGGGTGGGCGGGGTCTCCAACTTCTTGGTAAAACCCCAGCCAAGGCTTCACGTCCCGTGTCAGCTACAGCAGCGTCTGCAATCTACCCTGAGTGTCTCTGCTCTCTCAATGTGGTCCTTCCTCTCCTCCCTTCAAAGCCAAAGGAAGGGAGGAGATGGTACAGGGGTGTGGGTGGGTAACAGGTGTGACTCTGGGAGTTCAGCCTCTTCCGCGGGTGAGCATCTAACACAGCACCGAGGCCCTTGACGGAGGCCCTGAGCTCGGGCCAGGAACACCAAGACAGAACACACACACTAACACACGCTGAGCAAGCTTTTAGAAAGGAAATCCTCATCTGCCTCTGGGTGCCAATCACCCTCCCCTCAGAGCTGGCTGGCTATCTGCAGGCTCACCCCAATGGTGAGTCCATTCTGAACACATGTACTCGGCTTTGCTTTTCGGAATCGGTGATCTTATTACCTAATTGGAACCATCCCTAAAAATAGTCAGATGTTGTTCTAACACGTGAAGGGGGGTTAGCGGGGGGGGGGGGAAGAACCACCAATAAAACAGGGCCTAGAAATAACATCTAACTCACAAAACAGGAAGTAGCAGCCCACATCTGGCTCACCTTGCACAAGCACCTGCCTCTCTGGACTGGTGCACTGAGAACACCCTTGCAGGACTTCACATGGCCCATGGATTGCTGACATGAGGGTGCTCTGGGATGGATGCACACGTGTGTGACCCACACAGGGGTGTGTGTGTGTGTGTAAATGGAACATCACTGGTTTTGATGGTACTGGGGTTTGAACTCAGGGCTTCACACTTGCTAGATAGGCCTTGGACTGCTGTTTTTTTTTTTAATGGTTATGTTTAAGACAGGGTCTTATTTCCTGCCATGGTGTGTATGTACCTGGACCACAATCCTATGGTGGCTGGGATGGCAGGAGAATGGCACCATACTCAGTATTTTTTCCCACTGAGATGGAGTCTCTCTGACTTTTCTGTTCTGGGTGGCCCTGAACCTCAATCCTCTCGATCTCAGCCTCCCGAGTGGCTAGGATGGCAGGCGTGGGCCATTGCTCTTCTCATTATTAAGCGACAGCATTGCATAGTAGTTTTGTTTTTAAATAAATTTAAGAGAGGAAAAATGCTTTTATCATTGGCAGTTCTGGGAATAAAAGCCAAGGCTTCACATATGTCAGACAAAGGCTCCTCCAAATGAGCTATACCCCTAGTTCACAGAAAAAAAATTTTTTTAAATAGGGAAACAGCCTGTTTTAAATTGCCTCTCCCAGCTTAAAAAGGCATTTTCTTGACTATCTTAAGGGGAAAGACCTGAGTGTGCCAGTTCTGCCTCCCGTTGCCTACTGTGTGCTGTGTTCAGCTTTCTCCAAACCCACGTTCCAGCCCCTTCCAGCTTCAATGCTGCTGCTCCCTCCCACCCTCCCTGCTGCAGCAGCCTGGGGAGGCAGAGGGGGGGGGGAGAGAAGGGGGGGACGCTCGCTGCGGTCTGTGACTTGAGCAGGTCCTGACTTCTGGACGGTGAAGACGCTGGCTGGGTGGGTTTACTTCCAAGGTTCTTTGTGGCCATAAACTCTGAGAATCCCACCTGTGTTCCCGCCCCCATTTTGTCATCTGTTGACCGATTCTAAGGATGTTCATTTCTCCCCAAGTGGATAAATGCTGCCCCCCCTCCTTAAATTCAGTTTCCTTGCACATCTGGGATTAAGACTCAGGCTTTTGACCTTTCCCTAAATCTACCTCTGCAGGGGGTCTGGTCTCGGCCCCAGCCCCTGGATTTAAGCAACAAGCAGCAACTGAGTGCCTCTGGGTAATCCCTAAGGAGTGTTTCGACACACCTCCACTGGGCACATTTACCCAGCACAGCCACCGTGACCACTCTGCGGGGCAGCAGCTGATGGATCCTGGCGCGGAAATCCACCAGGGTTCCCATACTCAAAAGCTTGCGGCAGCACACTGACAGCACATGGGGACAGGGTGTGAAGCTGTGGAGGATGCGGGGGAGGGTCCTTGCTGGGACGCCATAAATATTCACAGGACAAATTCCAGTCAGTGTGCACTTTATCTCTGGCTTGCTTCTTCTCAAAAAAAAAAAAAAAAAATTCCCAAGTTGCAGTAACACCAGGAATGAGAGTTTATCCCGTACCTCACCGTGCGGCCAGGGAGGCGGCCTGGATGTGGGGACAGCCGGCAGGCCGCTGCAGGGGTGAGAGCCAGATCTGTACAAACATGGCTGCATGCCGTCCACCATCCTGAATGCGCTCAGCCACGCGTGGCCCGCCCGTCCCTTCTTTTCCTCAGAGGACTGCAGGGGGCTTCCACGGGGCCTCCCTGCCTCTCCTCCCGAGCTCCCCAAGCCAGGCACAGGAGCGGGCTCTTAAATCACAGCCATGCCGCTCCCCTGTCCCAATGCCTTTGATGACACACAGTCTGATTTCCTAGGCATTCACGAGCAGTCCTGTTCAGTGCTGAGCACTCTCCAGTGTGATTCTAGGAGGACCCTGCGTGGACCCATTCTAACTCGGGTGGACTCCACCCTTCCCTACACACTCTCCACACTGTCCACCTCCCTTTATTCCTCCTATTTTCAATGACCACAATGCCTTCTTTTTGCACTCACTGAGTGGATATTTCTGTACATTTTCTATTTTCAACCGCGTATCTGAGAGGAAGGGGCCAGCTTTTTACTGTTCTCCAGTCTGGTTAGCATGGTGCCATGCTTCGAGTAGGTGCTCAGTCACTGTTAGCTATGTAACGCAGAACGGCTGAAGTTTACAGGGTCATAAGCAACATCTCATTTGCCCTTATTTAGGACGTAAGTTATTACCAGAAGCGCTCAGATCTTAAAATCTGGTATCAACTGCTTAGTGCAATTGACAGAACAATCTCCAACTTTCTATTTTATAAGCCAAACAAAAGTATTTCTTCAATTGCTTTACTGTGTTCTACAAAGCTAAAAGAGGAGAGTATTTCTGCATCAAAGAAAGCCCTTGGGTCTTAATTGCGTTTTTTTCTCCTCTGCTTGTGGTTTAAGTATACAAATACCAAGGCCTCCAGAGGCAATATTAATGAAAAAAATATAAGAGAATTATAAATATTTAATATTTTGAAAATGGCTTTCCTATACATCTACCTGGAAGCTCCCAGAATCAGACTCCAACATCTTTGGAGCTGATATTCTTAACATTTGAACAACAGAAAAATTGCTAACAGTTGAATAAATAATCCCTTGCTAAGAGACTGAATATGACCAATACAATTGTTAAAAACACAATAATCAATTTCAATGCCAAGCTCAATAAACAATTGCTGAGTGGAAAACAAAGGAATTCAGAGAAGACACTACTATTGTTGTTAAGTCAAAAGCCTACATATAACAGATGGGTGGGAGCAGATGTGAGAAGAAATGAACTGGACGGAGAGAAAAAAGCCCTGAAGTGACCGCGACCCTACTCTGTTTCTGAGACCGTGGCTATCGGCAGGACTGCTGGAGAAGCAGGGACAGGCGCAGGGGTGGAGCTGGACCCTGTCTCTTTGGAGTTGAGCTTGGTGGCTAGATAACAGAAATCGTTCCATAAATACGGGTTGAGATGCAAGCACCTTGAGACCTGTCTCCATTTTCGCATTTCAGTCTTCCTCATCTGTCGCTCACTGGTGCTGAGTAGTAGTACATTACCGGCCCTTTCACATGCTGCCAGAGAGCGCCAGCGGCGGCCATGCTAGACACAACGGTGGCAGTTACTGGGACTTTGTGTGGAGCGCATGCTCAGTGACTTGCACTGCGCTCACCCCACAGCTGGCAGGGGCTGACTGCCTGACCCAGCAACTGCACCCACATCCCAGCCTCGCTTCAATCCCAAGCCTGAAGTTACGTATCCAGCTAAGAGATGCCAGAGGTGTATTACGAGGTTAGGGCTAAAGCTCCCACAGCTGGCATGAGACACAGATCCTGAGGGGGACGTGGGTGATACTTATATGGCTCTCTTGAGAGCCTTTGTAACCCCCAAACTTGGTGGATCACTATCATAAATCCCATGCTTTTGGGGGGGGCAGTCTCCCAAGTCCCCCCAAGCAATAGTTTCTTTTATTTCATGTAGACTAAAAATTAGAGACATGAATTTAGTTACCTCAGTTAGGCCAGACCCGCCTTAAGAGTTCGATTCCGTGCTTTGAAAGAAATCACTTGGAAATCCTCAGTTCTGACTCCTCCATCATCTCCACAACACGATCTAGAAAATGAAAAAGGTGCACGGAGCTCATGTGACTGGCTGCTGGATTTCGTGTTCTGGCATATTACTGTCATCAGCATATATGGAAGACCTGCGGTAAGTTGAGGCCTGCCTCCTGCAGACCAGGGCCATCTCCAGCGCCTGGCCCCAGCCCCAGCGGCTCTGAGAGATCACAGTGTGACCTGCGCAAGGTCCCACCACTGCCCCTCAAACCTGGATTCAACTGAGTGAAAAGCCTGGGCAGGCAACCAGCAAGTCTCAGCTCCTAAAGTTGATTTGTTTTTAATTGTGTTATCTAAACGGAAAGCCAAAAGTTTCACTAAACAATCCTCGTCCTGTGTGCGACGCGTGCTTTTTCTCTTTTTTTCCTGTCCTTTTCCCTTGTACTGTATATTCTCGACCTTTAAACAAAAGCAGCCCGCGGTAACCCACGGATGGACTCCACCACGAAGGGGCCCAGCTCTTGGAGGAACACTACCAGGAGTCTTTCGCTACCAGTTTTCCTGACGCCACGACCGCTCCCCTGGCCCAGCTCCCCAGTCCTCTTGGGCCGCGAGAACCCCAGGGGGCAGCTGAGCCTCACAACCCGGGAGAGGTCTTCAACGTGGGCACCCCCAGATGGGATGGCCACTTAGGCCCGGGCGCAGGGGCGAGGGGCGCTCCCCACGGCAGAACCTCGGGGCCTATGAGCCCCTCTGCAGAGTGGGGCCGGGCGGGCGACGGGGCGGGCCGGGCAGCCGGACC